GAAGTTTGCTTGAAAACCGGGCTCTGCGCGGGCAGAGTTTCAAACCGAAAAACTCTTTTTCTTGGAGACTCCGGGAGCCTCGGGGCTTCCTTCAGGTGCTAGGGGGTTCACCTAGGCTTAGGAGGGTGTTTGGGTGAGTTAGAGAGAGAATAGAGAGAGAAAGTAGAAGGATTTGGTGTAAAATACTCGGCAGCCCTCGCAGCCCTTTTATAGGCGCGAGCCTCCTCGGAACGCTGCGCGTACCCTCGGTGGTACGCTGCGCGTAGGGGCAGGTGTCTCGCTTCGGGTGGGGCGACGTGGCCATCTCCGGAACCGCAGAAAAAGTCAATACGCGGGGCGTAGGGTCCTCGTACGCGGGGCGTAGTTGGTACGCGAGGCGTCCGAAGTCTACGCTGGGCGTAGCCTCGCATCCAGCTTCGCAAATTACACACTTATCTTCTAAAAATCATAACTTTCGCATGCGAGCTCCGTTTTCGACGTTCTTTATATCCACGCGTAGGCGGGAACGTAATCTACAACTTTAGTTTAGACTCCGTCGGCTAATTTTGATTTTATTTTAAAAGTTACATTATTAACAGGCCGGGACAGTATTGGTTCGTTAAAATCTCCTAACTTCTTCATCCGACGTCCGTTTTCGTCTGTCTTTTTATCGTTACGCTACTAATAACGAGATCTTCGATTCTCGTTTAGGTTGTGTCGGCTAGAAACCGCTCGATCTAATATTCCAACTTTGGGTTGTACACTGCTAAGTCGAAACTTCGAAAAATCATAACTTCCTCATATGAAGTCAGATTTGGGCGTTCTTTATATCCCCGGAATCCTTGTTTCGACCACTAAAACCTTATGTAAAGATATCGGGCTTATCTCCCATTTTAATTTTGACGCTTATTTTTATCCTTTATTTATTATATTATTATAAACAATTAATAAGCACACAAAAGCACATAATTCACATTATATTCAAGTAATTCATCTTTATTACTTTAAAATGAGGTACAATGGTTGACCTAGACTATTACATCATCGCATCAATGTTTAGCCTCGAAACACGGGCGTTACACTCTGGTTAACCAACAAACTCTCTCCCCCACCGCCACCTCCACCTCCACCTCCACCAGCTCCACCACAACCACCGCCAGATTCTTCTGCTTACAAAACTGATTTGGATGAAATTGTAAACAACAGTGATTTTGGGACCCACACGAATTGAGTACAGAGATAAGGGAAAAATCTTTGTGGGGAATCTTCCATGGTGGATAACAAAGAACGAGCTTGAAGAATTGTTCAGACAATTTGGACCAATAAAGAAAGTGATATCAATAAAGCGTTACAACGATACAGAAAGAAACTTGGGGTTTGGGTTTGTAATATATGGAGGCACAACAGCTGAAAATTCAACAATGAAAGCAGTTGAGTTTGATGGTATGGAGTTTCATGGGAGGGTGTTAACTGTAAAACTTGATGATGGGAGGCGAATGAAGGAGAAATCTGCAGATAGGGCTAGGTGGATTGAAGGGGATGACACTGTAGATTACAAGTCAAAATGGGAAGAAGAGAGACATGTTTCAAGAAAAGAGCTCAAAAATGTGTTAGGAAGTCAACCAAAAAAATTGGCAAGCTATTGTTGAAGCTTTTGAAATGATCAAAAAGGTATCTAGAACCTGAACATTCTTTCTTTACTCTATTTTATAAATAAATTGATTCTTTTTTCTAAAAGTTGACTATTATAGCCTTCCAGGACAGAGTTTGGATTGATGATTAAATATTATGCAAAGAAAGGTGACATGCATCGAGCAAGAGAAATGTTTGAGAGCATGAGGGGTAGAGGAATTGAGCCAAATTCACATGTATTTACCACGTAAGGGATATTGCTATATTGAGTGCAAATTTGTCCTCTTTTTTCATTTTCCTGCATTAAATTAACTTATTTTATGCAGCCTAATTCACGCTTATGCAGTAGGTAGAGATATGGAGGAATTGAGCCAAATTCACATGTATTTACCATGTGGGTCTTGTGAATTCCTTCTTTTACAACCACTAAATTAGATCCATTCTTTTAATGTCTTAAAAAATTTGACTTTTACTAAAACTTACTTTCCTTGAACAACTTCTTGATGTACTTGTCCTAAATCTTTTGTGAATTTTAAGATTTTGTTTGTCTTCCCATATGTTTAGATAATCCTTGATTCCTTTTAAAATAATTTTTCTAGAATTTTTTTTGACTAAATAGTATGTATTTTGACTTTTAGGGATTTTGATTGCGGCGATAGCGCTATTCACGGAGCTACACGTCCTCCTCAACCTTGTTTCCATCGGAACACTTTTTGTCTTCTTAATGGTCTCAAACGCAGTCATTTACAGACGATATGTCTCACTGGGGACCACAACCCCATGGCCCACACTGTCGTTCTTGTTAAACTTTTCATTCACTTCCATCATGTTTACCCTGCTATGGTGGTTCGCACCGCCCGGGAAACCTAAAGGGTTCATGCTTGGTGGATGTTCTATAATTGGAGTTGGATTAGTACAGTTGTTCAGTTACATGGTCCCACAAGCAAGAAAGCCTGATTTTTGGGGGGTCCCACTTATGCCATGGATACCACGTGTATCTATATTTCTCAACATATTTCTGTTGGGAAATATCGACACTGCCTCCTATATTCGGTTTGGATTTTTTTCAGCAGTTGTGGTGCTTGTTTATGTTCTATATAGTGTTCATGCTAGCTTTGATGGTGAGGAAGATGGGATTGTTTGTCAAAAAAAAATGTTGAAATGGTGAAGGAATCAATTGACATAGAGGATCAAACTCTAAAAATGTAAAGTTGACCTTTGACTTTTTTTGCTTTTTTTGTTTAATTATTATTTTGTTGATAGAGAGATATGAGGGGTAAGAATAGAATTAAATTTGGTCAAGTTCTATAGTGGGTTGAATTGATCCCTTTATTGTGTGTTATGTAGTCCATCAACTTTTGAAGATGGTTCACATGACAAAATGGGAACAATTTTTAGGTAATTGTTTTTGGTCAAAACATGACTACCCCTCAAAGTTAGCTCTTCTTTTGTGGATCAGTTTCACAAAAGTTCAATGATTAAAGGATTCATTTGATTATCGTTCAATTTAAAACCTTTAATTTAAAGATTCGTATCTAGATTACACTTTCTAAAAACATGTTTTGGATTAAACTGTTAACTAAAAAGACTCGTATATATGTATATATCAGATTACAAAACCTTATTTTTAGACCTCATCTCACTTCACAAAACTACCCCTTATTTTTTTTATAATTTTGATTGGTCATGAAGATGAGGACAAGATCGTTTGTTTGTCATGCTAATTCCACATCACTTAATCACTCAAAATCACTAATTTTGTCTCTAAGTTCCGGCCAGTCACAATGATCCATGTTGTTTTATTTTCAGTATTTTGATTTGATTAAATCGCAATCCATTTAAACCAATATATGCTACAAAGTGAATTTTGAGAGTGAATATCACATTCAAATCAACTCCGATTTGGACAAGATATCGTTGTGACATTCACTTCAAGATGAAAGCAACCACATCGTAAGTTCTATCTTTTACTAAGAGAACCTAACCAAATAAGTTTCCCATATTCTAAACGAATGCACTTTTTGTCCATATCTATTACATATTTACATCTTTTATTAGTTAAAGTCGTTCCACAAATTTAAAGTGCCACAAAGGATATTTCACAAAAAGTTTGCCAAACTTCTTTTGGGTTTTCTACCTAGTTATTGATCAGAAAATCTGATAGTCGTCATGAGTAATCAAGACTTCAAAAGAAAAAACACATGATAAAGCAATATAAAGACATTGGGGACTAGAAAATGATGTTTTGATAAAAAGCTTTATGATTTAAAATCATATATTGATATTAATCAAAAACAATTTCAAATTAGAACGTGTACCCCTTACGTATACAGAAAACTAAATAAAAAGTATATATTAGCCGGTTTTTTCTGTTTATACAGCTAAGCATGCACATAAAGCAGAAAAGTGAAACACATATGTGGTGATCAATTCATATAGAAAAGGATAAAGATGTTGAAAACTTTTCATGAGATAATGAAAGGTGACAGAATTGTAGATATTTAATAATTTATTAAACCTATCAAATTTAGAAAGGTTAGTAAATAGGTCGTTTTCACCAACAAAAATATGTGAATATATTATATATGTTGCAACCAGTATAGTTGAGTAAAGTTTCAAGGTAACTAAATAAATAATAAATAATTATACTAAAAACAAGCATTTTCCTTTTAATTCTCGTAAAGATAATGGTATTTTTTTTTAAATTTGTAAATATTTTTTACCTAAAATCCAATTTTCTCACTTTCTTTATTAGTTCCTTTATAGTATTACATTACTACAAAAATAAAACACCCATAAATTTTCATTTCTTTTCGCTTTCACATTACATCTAATCAAGTAATCAACCACCCCAAATAAATTGGAAAATGTTCCTACTAGCTACTCCATTGATGACATTGTTACTTTGCTTCTTGAGATGCTCCTCTTGTGCACACGTGTCACCAACCTAACAAACCAATATCATTAATCCCAATTCACAAGTCAAAATCACTATACATGACTCTTTTCTTTTGACATGATACAGAAGAAAAAAAAAAAACTTAACAGATAAAGTTAGTCGGTAAAATAAGGAACTCCCCATTATGTCCTAACATTTTACAAATTCGCCCTTATTTTTTTTTTCTTTATGCTAGTATTTTCTCAAATATTTATAAAGAATGATTAAAAAAAAACTTACAAGATCCGAGTAGGCACGAGCAAGTGATGAAACCGTTGGGTATAAATCAAGCACAGCAATGGCAACATCCTCAGTCACCTGTGGAACCTGCAAACTTTGTTCATTAATTAACTAAAAAAAAAAAAAAAAAAGTTGTGCATAAAAGATTAAAAATCATATTATATTTTATACCTGCATGAGTTGGGTGGCGAAAACATCACTGACTGTCATCTTATCTTAACTCTTGACATCGCTCAATAAACTGATCAAACGGAGGGCAAATTGGGAAATTTACATGTTCCTCCTCATTGGCAAGAGATTTGTAATATTGTGTAAGATAACCGTATTTTCTTAGTGTATCTCCTAACCCACTTGTTCTCTGTACATCAAACCCCTCCAAAATTTCGGTTGTCATGCATCTACAAATATCATTAATACAAAAAAAAAATCATTACAAATAAAAGACAATATTTTATAAAAAAAAAAAATGTACTTACGCTGTTTTAATACTTTCAGCACTTTCTAAAGCATTTGGATCACCTTCTACTAGGTATATCAACCTTTTGAGCCCACACCTCTTCATGACAAACGAAAATAATAAATTAGAAATAATTTACAGTATTAAATAAATAGCTTCAAATAAAAAAACTAGTAAGAAACATCACCATGATCCGAACTTTCTGCTCTTTGTAACGATTATCTCTAATGGAAGATCTTAAATCATCAACATTTTTTCTTTCAACAATAAAATCAAGAACATATTCACTACCAAATTCCATCTCCCACAGGTAATCGCCTCACCTATAAAAAATAATTAATATATTAATAATTAATAAGAGATTGTTTGATAGTTGCTGATTGAGTTAAATCTGATTTACCTCTATTAGTATCTTAAAATGGAGTCGGATATTCTCAAGAAGCTTTCTAGACCTTGACCTGAAAATTAGTTAGATTTAAAACTATTTTGCATGAGTCATTAAGAAAAATAAAAAAATGTTTGAAATAATTACTCACTCCTTGGTGAATTTTTCCCGATCATCTAATATTAAAACCACTTCATATACATCCTCGAATCGGTCTCCAAGTGTCAAAGGTGGCATCGATAGAACATTTGATTTAGCTTCTAGAACATTCCTACTTCTCTTCCTCACATTCTCATCCTATAACAAACATTAGAAAATAAAATAACAATATTCTTATGAATTCAAAAGAAGAGTTTGAAAAAAGTGAGGCCAAGACTTACAGATGATGAACAAGGTTTGATTGAAGTCGGGAGTTGTGTAGTTTCTTTATGAGTGAAAGAGCTTGATGATGGATGATGATGATGACGTTTGACTTTTGGAACATTGGTCAAAGGTGCACTGTAGACTTCGACTTCACGAAGAGAACATAAAACAGATAGCCAAAGTGAAGAAGGTTCTTCATTTGGTGACTTTTTTGAGACCTCATAAAAAGCACGGATTACTTGTTCTTTTGAGTATCCCATTCGCACAAGCTGCAGAAATTAATAAAAGTTAAAAATTTTTAAGCCATAGTACAACCCAAAAGAGTCATCAAAGAAAAGAAAGGGTGTGTTTTTTCATGAGAAAAACAAGACACTCTACCTTATCAACAGTATCTGGAGGAATCTCAACTGGTTTTTTCTGCAAACTTGAAGAAACATGCCTAGATGCCACATCATCAACCAACTCAGCATCAATGCACACTGAATCTTTCAGATTTTTTTGGGTTAAATCTGAAGTTTTTTCCACATCAGCAAGCTCATCTGTAGAATCAACCAATCCAGATCTCAACATACAATCACGTGCAGCTTCTTTTCCTTGCTCAGTCAGCATATATCTAAAATACAAAAGGTTCCAAAACTATCAATTTTTCTTTATATGAAAAGGATAAATAAAAATACAAAAAGCCAAAATGTAGTTACTTTGCAGGGTTACTTGATTTTACAGCCAACCCTTTATCTATCAATTTTTTCATGCAATTCCATCCACTATACCAATCCCTGCCTGAGCTAACTCCAAACTGGCCTGCTTTCCCCTTTCCTATTTCAGGCCTGTAACCATAAAAGATCAGTATAAGTACTAGACAGAGGGGTAGAAAAGTAAATACATACATTATAGGTGAACGAGACAATCCACTTGCTTCAGCAGCATCAATTAGCTCTTGTTTTCGCATAAAATTACTTCCATTAGATGTTCCCCTAACATCAAAACTGATGTTATCAGACCAATGTTACACAAAAAAGTAACAAGGAAAAAGATGTTATGATTACCTGTAAAGAGTGATCAATAAAGCATAAGCTGCAGAGTTTTTTTGAGGCACATATTGCTTGTTTCCCTTTTTTCTTTTCCCTATGAAGTTTAATCAAATAGAGATTATAGACAATGGAAACAAGAGCTAACTGCAAGGCAACAAAAGAAAGTGTGAATCAACAGAGAATTACCACTTTCTATCATCTCTTCATTCTCATCTTCATCAACAAAGAAACCTTTCATGATTCTCAAGATCCAATTTCCAACACCTCTGACACAATTAAAAAAGAAGTTGCTTGACATCATTCAGAGTAAAATTACCGTATAATTTTCTACAACAGTGGAGTAGTACAAGATAAAGGCAATTATTCGGAGAAAAAATCAGATTCATAACAAGTACATAAAAGCTTATATGCTGAAAAGTGATCGTTACTTGACATTGGAGAAGTCCTTTAGGGTTTTGATTGGGGTCTTGGAACTGCAAACCTTCAAGCAGGCCTTCGATATCGTCTTAACGTTATTCTCCGATAAATCCACCATTTCCTTTTGTTTTTTCAACATGAACTCCACAACCTCTGCATTTTCGGGACACACTACTCTATCCATTCTTTATCGATTTAGGGTTTTGAAATAGGGATTTTCAAATAGAGAATCTAAAGCAAAATTTGATCCATGCTTGAGAAGAACACAGGTTAGATTGAATATTTTCGGTGAATTCTTTCACTCGGAGGTGAAATCATCCTGATTCTTTATGGATTTCGGTGGGCAGACATGGTAGAATGAACTTGGAGATGGTGAAGAACTGCTCCCGCTAATTTTGAAATTCTGATTTGAAGCGAAGTGAGTGTATTATTATTTGCAGTTTTAACCCTTCGTGTTACCTAAAATTGTCATAATGTGACGTTTCGAAACAAAGTATGTCTCGATTGGAACTTTTTTTTTACAAGACTCAATGGTTTTTAAACAAAAATTATCCGAACATATTTTAATCAGATTTAAAAAAAAAAATCATTCATTGTGTTAAAAATTATATATTTTTAAAAGTTATCTATGACTTTGAGACCAATAAACCTAGACTGCTACAAATATTAGCTAACTCATTCTCTAAGGATTTATTGGTTATAGTTTTTTATATTAAAAAATTTCAGAAAAATAAAAGTTTTAACATATTAAAAATTATTATGATATAGTGATTGTTTTAATGGATAGATGGAAATATATTGCGTTATTTCAAGATGGAAAATCTTAAATTAGAATTTTAGAAAATAATAAGATTTTAATATTTAAAAAATAATATAGTAATTTTTAAAAATTAAATGAAATTTTTTGGGTTTTTGTAGTTTTGGCCTTATTTTAACTAATATTGTTTTACAAGGGCAGAACCAGCATTTTTTTCCGAGTACCCTTAAATTACAACTTTGCCCCTTCTCTGTTTATTAAGATAATGTGTAGGGTTTTGGTTTCATTAACACACACACCCAGATACCCTATTTGCCACCAGAGAGGGGGAGTTCGTCGCCGTTCTTCACCGGAACAACCGCCACAGGTATGTAAGTCATCCGTCATTACCCGCCATATAATTACAGCTCTCCCAATATTGCTACTCACATTCGACTTTCTAGTTTCGTACAAGAAGTTGATTACTTTTAATCCTATAGTATAGTTCGCTGTGATCTGTTCCAATGCTTCGAAATGGTAGGTTAGGGGTCGATTCTTAGTCTCTGTAATCAACATTATATAATTGATCGAATAATTGTTACTTGTGGAATGATAATGCCCTGTAGATTTCTTTTCTTCCAAATACAATTAGAAGGCATCACCAAAAGCTGAAAAGCGTAAGGATTGTTAGCTGTTATTAATCGTTTCAGATTCATTGATCATATTGATTTAGAAGGAGCTGAACGATGGGTCGTGTTCGTACGAAGACAGTGAAGAAATCGTCTAGGGTAGTGATCGAGAGGTATTACGGGAAGATGACTCTGGATTTCCATACAAACAAGAAGATTTTGGAGGAAGTTGCAATCATCCCTTCGAAGCGTTTGAGGAACAAGATTGCAGGTTTTTCAACTCACCTCATGAAGCGTATCCAAAAGGGACCAGTGAGAGGTATATCATTGAAGCTCCAGGAGGAAGAAAGGGAACGCCGTATGGACTTTGTGCCTGATGAATCTGCCATTAAAACCGATCTGATTGAGGTTGATAAGGAGACGATTGATATGCTGGTTGCTCTTGGGATGGGTGACCTCCCTGGGGTTGTGAAGGCGACGGTTGAGCCTCAGGCGGTGCCGGCTGCCACTGGTTTTGGTAGGGGTGGTGGTGGTGGTGATTTTGCTAGGAGGTATTGATACTTTTTTTTATAGAATAATTTGGTTACTCGACTATTTTTAGTGTTTTTTTCTTTTGATTTACGTTTTTTATTTTTGAGATGTAGAAGAATTATTGATTAGTAAGTTGGGTAAATAGCATAAAAAACACTTCGTTTACACCAAAATTCTAATTTGACATCGTGTTTTTTTTTGTCTCAAATTTGACACTGTGTTTTCCAATTTGTTACAATTCTGACCACTTGACCGGTTAACCAGGTTACATGCTGACGTGACATGATAACGTGTCAGTTTTGATGATGTGACATGCTGACATGATATGCTGACGTGTCAAAATTGAATTTTTTTTCCACAAAAAACACTAAGTTTTCATTTTTTTCGATTTTGACACTAAGTTTAATTTTTTCTTTCAATTTTAATAATATGTTTTTTTGTTCCAAATCGAACATCATTTATCAATTTTTGTTCAATTTTGACCATTTTCCATTTCAATTAAAAACCATAGTTTTGTATAAAAACAAGTTTTTTTTTTTTTTTTTTTTTTTTTTTTTTTTTTTTTTACATTCAAACCATAATTTTATGTATAAATATGTATTAGTTATATAAAAACCGTATTTATATTAAATACGCAACTTTAAAATGAGTTTGTAGGTTTGGAGGCGTGTGTAGTCGATTAAAACTCGGATGTCAAGTTTGCAACCCCTGAAATTTCACATCTTATTAGAAGCTTATGGTTAGTTTGATTCTCATGATATAACTAATGCATATTTATACATTATACTTTGAATGTAAAAAAAAAAAAAAAAAAAAAAAAAAAAAAAAAAAAAAAAAACACCTTGTATTTAAATAAAAATGTGGTTTTTAAACAAAAAAAATATATTTATACGGTTTAAAATGTAATAAAAAAATATATTTATACTGTTTCAAATGGAAAATGGTCAAAATTGAACAAAATTGGAAAAAATAATGTTCGATTTGGAACAAAATAACATAGTGTCAAAATTGAAAGAAAAAATTAAACTTAGTGTCAAAATCGAAAAAAAGTGAAAACTTAGTGTTTTTTGTGGAAAAAAAATTCAGTTTTGACACGTTAGCATATCATGTCAGCATGCCATATCATCAAAACTGACACGTCATCATGTCATGTCAGCATGTATGTAACCTGGTTAACCGGTCAAGTGGTCAGAATTGTAACAAATTAGAAAACACAGTGTCAAATTTGAGACAAAAAAAACACGGTGTCAAATTAGAATTTTGGTGTAAACGGAGTGTTTTTTATGCTATTTACCCTAGTAAGTTGGCTTTGAGTTTGTTGGTTTGTCTAGGCTGTATGTTGGTGAAAGTAAGTTATGAATTCTTTAGGCTGTTGGGTGTGGGTAACACCCAAAAGGTACCACATCATCATCCTAGTCATAAATGGATGTTATAACACCAAATGTGGAAATGGGCAACACCAAATAACAAAATAACATGTGATAACACCATTTTTTTTATGTTTGTGATTCCCATTTTTCTATTTTGTTTTATTTTTTTAATTTATGTCATAATAATTTTTAAAAAAACATATAAATTAAATAACACATAATTAAAATAAATACTAATTAAAAACTACATTCCAACGAAAAAACATAAAACGACATTCCAACGAAAAAAAAAACATAGACCGAAAAAAAAACAAAAAAAAAAACATTACAACGAAAAAAAACACTAATCTTCGTCTAAATATTTCTGCTCAATCTTCGCCTTCATTTTTCGGAGTGTCTCCAACCGTCTCGGTGTCAAATTATCCTCGCTAGTTTGAAGAATTGCCAAATCTTTCGCAATACTATCGTCATCGGTTTCACGACGCAAGAACTCAAAATGTTCCCGTTGCAAATCATATAGTTTACGAGCGATTTCGTTGTGCTCGTCAATTTTTTTTTTCATTTCGGCTTGCTCTCGTCGTCTACTTTCGGCTTCATCCGCGTGTCGTTGAGCACGCCTCGCTTTGTCGTGGCCTATTGGTCGTCGAGGAGGGGAGATTTCTTCAATGTCGTTCAAGTCGTCCGGTATCTCATCCGTGTCCGCATTGAGGTCGATGTTCGTGCGTGCGTCCGAAACATTGACCGAACCCGAGCCGCGCGACCTCTTCGATTGTTGTTCCGTAAATGTGTCGGTTTTATTCCACTTTGGGTCTTCCTTCACAATCTTCCAAATTTTTTCGTGCTAAAAAACGTGACCGGTCTCCACATGATATTGCTCCCTCGTCGCTCTATAAACGTCAAAATCGGTCGCACCACTTTGCTTGTGCGAGGAAAGCTTGTTGTAGATGGAATTAAACTTGGTGCACTTCTTGCTTATTTGAGTCAATTTGCTACTCAACATGTCGTGATTGCGGTAATTTTCATCTTTATTCAAAAGGCTACGAAATTTCCCGATCACGGCTTCCCAAAAGACAACTCTTTGCATGTCGTTTCCTTGCGTTGGATTTTTTGATGTCCCGCACCAAGCCACCGCCAATGCGTACTCCTCCTCCGCGGTCCACCATGTTGGAGGCTCGTCTTCCGATTGCTCCACCGCAACCGCTTTCCCTTTCCTTCGTGATCTCCCTTGTTGGGCCGTTTTTTTTTCGCTCCCCCCCCCCTTGCGTCTCGGGTACAGTTTGTTGGGTGGGTTGTGGTTGTGTGGTATTTTGTTGCATTGTACCAAATGGGTTGAAAAGGTTTTGTGGAAGGGGTGAGACGGGATTGAAAAAATTGCCTTGAGTGTTGAGGATGTTCGCATACATTTCGTTTTGTGCAAAACCGAGAGGCGGAGGTGTATTTGTGTTTGGAGGAGTGTTGGGGTTTTGATCCATAGTTTTCAAAAGATAATTTTTTGGAAGAATTTGAAATGTAGTTTGATATGAGATAAGAAATAAAATGGATGTATATATATATATATATATATATATATATATATATATATATATATATATATATATATATATATATAGGCGTAAAGAGGTAAAAACATTCAAAAAATTATTATTATTATTATTATTATTATTTTTTACATTTTTGACTATTTTACAACGGTTCAAAAACGAAATGTATACGTTGAGCCTCGAAAAATAGCCGTTTTGAAGCGTTACCACAGTAACGCGTAAAAACGTCATCCGGGCGCGGTGTTCCAGGTGTTATAACGCCGTGTTTGGAGGCCACGTCATAATAACGCCATTAGGCATTGCCCGCTCCTAGCCGTCTTATTGATCATTGAAAGTCTGAAATTGACTTGATTCTGTTCTATCTTTTTACATATATAAACGAAAAGTTATTACTTATTAGTTACACGTTCCAAGTTTTACTTTTATTCAGGTGGAGCAATATGATGTGGGTAAACCTGTGTAAAATATCTTTGTTGGGCCCGTTTTCATATGGTGTATTTTCACTATGTTTTTTGGGTTGGGGAGCGGGAGCAAGTGTAGGCTCTCTCATATAATTACTATGTAGTATATAATTATTTTTATTTGAAAAAAAAATATTAAATTTAAAGTAGACATCGTGTGATATTTGTTTCATATTTGAATAATTAGTGTAATATATAAGATAAACGTAATAAAACAAGTGAAAAAATAAGGTAAATAAGATTGAACGGAGGATTTTGGGGGAAACCTGGTTAATGAGGGATTACGGAGGCGGAATCAAGGATAGTCTTGAAATTTGGGGGCATGTGAATTTGGGGTTGGGGGCAACAAGCAAATTCGGGGGCAGCGGTTATTTTTGTCTCATTTTAATCCCATTGACATTCCTAACTATGTTTGATATTCCATAATTAGCTTATAACCTAGTTTTCTCAAACATTATTTTTTTTATCAGCTTGTTTACAAAATGTCATTTTTAATCGGTTAGTAGCTAACTTTTCAATTAGTTCGTTAAACATAAACATGTAACTAGTCAATTTGTTGGCCTAGGGTAAACTTCAAGCATATGTGTTATACTATATAACATTTACCAAAGTGACTGCTATTGTAGGTAAACAAAATGATAGAAATGGTCCATCTGGAAAAATTTAAAGAAAAAAAAATCCTTGTGTAACAAGCAACATTTGAAAACAAATTATAAAAATGGTCGCTGAAAAAAAAAGTTATAGAAATGGCCGATGTCTAAAACATAATTATATAAATGGTCTATATATGTTAGACAAAATTTAAAGAAATGGTTCCTATAACGCGGGTTTAAAACACTCGTTATCCTACAAATTACAAGCCATATGGGATCAGGTAAACCATCCCCAAAGGCAGACAATTTCATATGAGTTGAAACATGTAGTCACAGGGTTTAAACAAGCATGAACATGAGCTTATTGTGTTCACTTGTTTAAGTTTAACCGCACAAACAAACAAAATTTTTTGTTTATGTATGTTCATTTAAAAATCAGTATTTTCATGGCTGTTAAAATGCTTAACAAATATAAACGAACGAATATAAATAACATAAATGACAAACAAAAAGTTATACGTAAATGAACATAAAAAACACAAATGAACATCAAAGAATAATACATCATTATTCCTCAAACCTCATGGAAGGTCAAAATAAATAATATCATTATTTTTCTATGACAATTAAAGTAAAAAGGTTTTAGTCAAACATAATCGAAGTAAATAACAAACAAGCATTATAATATAAATAAAAACAATTTATTGAAATTGTAACACTTGAATTGGGTATGTTTTCTTTTAGCCATTTTTATTTAAAATATCTAAGGAGGAAGTCTGATCGCGGAGTCGAGCCTCGTACATTGGGCGTACGAAGGTTTAATGAAACCTTAATTTTAGGGTGTTGCATCCTATATAAGTTCCTTAAGTCCTTAGGACTGACCTCTTTACCAGCCGCCATATCTCCTAAACCCTAAATTACGACCCTTAGCCATCATTTTGTGTCTTTGAGCTCTTGAGAAGAGAAGTTGGTGCTTACTTGCTCAATTTGAAGGGATAGAAGAAGGTTGAAGGTTCATTGCTTAGTGTGAAGCTTAGAGATCCAAAATCATCACTCCTTTGCAAGTCATTTGAGGTATAAAGATCTTATCTTGACAAAATCAAAACCTAGGGATGATCCAAGTGCAAAAGAAAAAAATAGGGACCAAACGCAACATTTTGGCAAACACATGGACAATTTTGGTAATTTGTTCTATAAACAAAGTAACAATAATGAAAATTAGTAAATGAACATTCACAAATATAAATGAATGAATAAGACTATTGTTTCTACTCGCTTTCTAACTACACAAATCTTGTTTATACTCATTGAATATAGGAAAAAAATAAACTAAGGTTGTGTTTGACATACTAGTTGAAAAGCTAGCTATTAGTTAAACAGTTAGCTGATAGCTAAAAAGCTAGCTGTTAAATAAAAAACTAGCTAGTAGCTGAAAAGATAGTTGATAAAAAATGGCGTTTGGTAAAACTAGCTGAAAAGCTAGCAGAAACATATAAACGAACATAAAAAGACATTTAAAAGAATATGTTTCTATAATTAATCAAGGGTATATTTGAATGTTTTTAAAAAAGCATCTAAAAAGCTAGTCTAGGCTGTGTTTGGAGCGTCACAGCTAACTGATGAACTAGCTTATTTTTTGAGTTTTTTTTAAGTTGTTATGTTTGACAAGTCAAAAAGTAGCTTATAAACTAGCTATTTAAAAAAGTACTTACGTCGTGTTTGGCGCACCACAATTAGCTGATAAACTAACTTATTTTTCGATTTTTTTTAAGTTGTCATGTTTGACAAGCCAAAAAATAGCTTCTAAACTAGCTTATAAGTTAGTTTTTTAAAATGCTACTTAGACTAGCTTTTTAGGAGTTTTTTTTTTATTTTTTATTTTCCAAATATACCCCTTAATTAATTATATAAATATATTTTTTTAAATGTACTTTTAAGTCATTTTATATTTTCAGCTAGTTTTACCAAACGATATTTTTTATTTGATAGCTTTTCAGTTATTAATTAGTTTTTTATTTAACAATTAACTTTTCAGCTAGTACGCCAAACATAGCCTTAGATTAGCTTTTTTAAAATTTTCCAAATATACTCCCTAATTAATTATTAAAACACGTTATTTTAAATGTCTTTTTATGTAATTTTATATATTTCTGCAAGTTTTTTCAGCTAGTTTTACCAAACGTCATTTTTATCAACTAGATTTTTAGCTACCAGTTAGCGTTTTAGCTAGAGCCGACCCATGGGGAGAGCAAGCTGGGCCATGACCCAAGGCAACAATGGGCTGAAGGGCATCAGATTTTCTACATCTCTTAAGTGTTCATCTTTTATTTGGGACACGTTTAATGAGCTAGCAAGCAAAATAATTCTAGTCAGATGTTGTAAGGGCGCCAAACTAAAAATCCAAAATCAGATAAGCAGCTAAAAGATACGAGCACGCCACACACTTCTATGTATAGGTAAACGAAACGGTCGCAACTCGCAACACACCTAGATCGAGGAGTCTCTTTTAGTCTTTCTCTAATTAGCTTTTGATTTAAAATGTTAGTATGGAGAATAGTAGAATTGAAGACAAAAAGTCAGGAGAGTAAAAGATGAGGACACGAGGACATCTCATCAACTCATCGGAATCTTGAGTGCGGGTAGGTCCAGGTTATGAAAATTTTCTTATATTTATAGGTTCAATCCAATTCCGTATATTAAATTTGCTTCTCACTGATGGTAATTGTACAAAGGAAAATTGAAGTAGCCCGTTATCAAGTATCAATACAGTTAAAAGAAAAAAATCTTAATTTATGAGTTCTCAAATCTAGTTTGATAATGTGTATCATTGATAATATGTTTGATTTTTCATTAGAAATCATTTAGTCTTTCATCGGCCATCTCAAATTCAAAAAATTAATCCAATTCTCAGCCCCCTGATTCAGTACATGTATGAGGTATGTCTTTAATTTGCGTTGAAAGTTAAAAATTTGAATCATTTGAAGATTTGAGAAATGATGATAGTACATGATAGAATGAATTTAACTTTGAGGGTTTTAATCTTGGTTTCATTTGTAATTAGATAGAAAGATATGTTCAGCACGATAGACAATTTTGGTTTCATTTATAATTGATAAAGAAGACTTTTGGTTATTGCTTTAGGCTCCTAGGGCATTATGTTTGAGTTTCAATTGAAAATAATCAAACTTGGAATTACAACCAAAATGAAATTATGTTTGATTTAGTAAAAGATAGTAGTGCATCGTACTAATATGCCCAAATTAGTGAATTAAATTGACTCTTTTGGACTTCTAGTTAGAATTTTGTTTGACTTTCAATTATATTTTTTTTACAAAAGGCATTGCATTTTATTTGTCTAATATAATTTTGAAATCAAATCATGTTTCTTTTAGCAATTTTTACACATGTCATATTAGTTGAATCTTTGTCTACTTAACGGGATTATGAAATGCACGAGCACCAAGTTTTCCTTTTATTTTGATCAACTCTGTTGGAAGCTATGTATTATCCAAACCCTGGTTGGATGTAAAAAACTAGCGAGTCATGTATTTTAAATTTTCTTGTAGATTTAATTCGTTGTTTCTATTATAAAGACACATTGATTGGATGTGAAACTATTGCAGATTCAACAAGTCATATATCTCTTTTGTGTTGTGTGTGTTGTAAGCTTTTTTTAGTGGTATTTTAGTCCCTTCTCGTTCTAGATTTAGAAAGTCTTCTAAGGTCTTCATATCTCATTTAACATCTCATTTAATCCTAACAAAAAAAATCACGTAACTATTTTCTCTCAGCGCCTCCATACCTCTCCTCATCATCAATCGTTCCTCCACCGGTTGTTATCCACCGTACGTCGTCCTCCTTGTGACCGACCACCAGAATCACCGTCCACCGGACGCACCGACCACCGCACCGACCAGAAGCTCCCACCTTCACAACCATCGACGGACACAAATGCTCCCCTTCAACACACGGCATCTTCCTTCTGTTTGACCGATTTTCCTTCTCCTTTTCCTTTCAGGTAACACTTTCCATCTCCTTTTCCCCATTTGATTTGAAATCAATTGTTCTCTGATTTTTGAAGAAACGCATCTGATTTCTAATTTCTAGAATATTAGGATTTTTAAAAAAAAAAAAAAAATCTGATTTGTGTGATTGGATCTTTGGTAGATGATTTTTTTTCATGTTTGTTTATGCTTAATCTGATTATTCCAGGATGTTTTCAAGATCAGTTTTTTTTTTCTTTTTCAAAATCAAATTATGCTTGGGATGTTTGATGTTTGTTTAAAGCTAGTTAATTGTTTGTTTATGTTAAAAATTAGATTATCATTGCTGTTAGTGACTTAAGATATCAAACATCAGAATTTTTTTGCATTGGTAATGAGTTAAGAAATCAGAAATTAGAATTTTTAAAGCTTTGGTAATCAGAAATCAGATTATGTTTTGGTTTGTTTTTTAAGCCTGCAGACGTTAAAAAACAAACATAGGGCATCTTGAATATATATATTTTAAAAATATTTCTAATTGTTTTGCTTTAGTAATTAGTATCATCGTATCATACTTAAACATAGGGCATCTTTAACCTTTATTGCCCGGGGCATGGAAAATCTTTGGACAGACCCTATTTTTAGCTACCAGCTAGCTTTTCATCTATCAACTAGCTTTTCAGCTAGTACGTAAAACATAACCTAAGTAGTTTTTTAAAAAGCTAGCTTATAACCTATTTTTTAAATTGTCAAACTTGACAATTTTAAAAAGCTCGAAAAATAAGTTAGCTTATCAGATAGCTGTGACACTAAATACAACCTAACTTCCCAACTATGAGAATTATACGTTTAGTTCGCTCATATCCTACACAAAGAAATTTAACTTAAAACAATTGTCATTTATATCAAACTTTGTCACCATTTAGCAACGGTTGTATGCAGCAATATAATTAAATTAAAAGGACGATTTTAATCCCAAGAGGTAATAGCATGCTTTTTGATTTATATTGAATAATAAATTAACAATAGTATATTACAATCATGAATATATTATTTATACAATTTTTTAAATAAAAAACAATTTAAAACATATATCTCTTTTGTTATCTTTTTCTAATTTGAAATGTTTTCATACTTAAAATTTTAGGAGTCACACCAAAGCCATATATTTTTTTAGGCCTAATTTAGGCCCACGTATCAAATGGTGTTTTTGAGAATTGATTTTGACGTTTTGGTTAGTTAATAAATACCAAAATCGAATCGGGTTAATTTTGACAATTGATTTCTATTATGTTTTATCTTTTTTTTTTTAATTTGTTTTAACATTATACATTCGGAGGGTCCCAAATCAATTCACATTATCTGTAGCATTACCATTTACCACACACAGTTCAATTTTAAGTAATAAGAATTACAGTTGCTGCTGCAGATAAGTGCGTCGTTCTTTTAGAGAGAGGATAAGTGGCTGAAGGAAAACAGAGTCATACTCATACCCTACTTACCACCAGAGAACGGAGGCTGACGCCGGTATTCACCGGAACAACCTTTACTGGTATGTAGTTTCCCCGTCATTCACTGTCACCTCAATTCAGTATCTCCATATTGGAAATTACGTTTCCGTTTCTAATTTCGTGTAACAACTTCATCAAGCCATTCGATATTATAGTACAGTTCCTTGTAGGGGTTTTCATGTTCCGAATTTCAGGGTTTAGGGCAATGATTAGACTCTGTATCAACATATTGTTGGTTGAAAGTTGAATTTAAACTAGGACTTTACAAGGTACGTAGGCCAGAACTATTGGAAATTTACTGAATAATTTGAGTTAAAAGTTCGATTTACACAAGGAGTTTACAAGGCGAGAAACCTTTTCCTGCATAGCCAAACGTAAAAGGAGTTTTCAATCGGGACATATCCTTTGCATTTGAATTAGATTTTTTTTTTTTTTTTTTTTTTTTTTTTCTTTGGCGTGGCTGGATACAACAAGGGTGTACTCTATCATGGTTTATTCATCACATTTCCTAACAGAATACGTTAACTGTCAGTCTTTCATATGGTTTATGCTTCCCTCATTGTTGATTTTAGTTTGTTAATTGGATGAACATTTGGACAATAACAACATAACTTATATGGCTGTGAAAATAATAGGTTGTGATTGGTAAAGTTGTATGATATGCAAGTAAAAACCCATAAAAGTTAAGGATCACGTAATGTATCTTCTCTTTGAAGAGCACAAAGTTTTATCAGTTTTTGGGTGTTTGTTTTGTTCTTTATGGTATGAACTTGCTTTATATATCATTATATCTCCCTAATCCTTCTTGTGATATGTTTATTTTAATTGATCAATTTTAGTTGCTGGAGAATCTTTAGCTAGGAGTCGATTACATATATCTACCAATTGAACTGACTGAATACAATCTCCAATTTCCATCATCATGAATAACTTTTCCCTTGCTTCCTCCACCACATACTGCTGCTCTACTTTCTCTGGTAAGCCTTACTCCCTTTCCTCCACTCTCCCTTTCTACTCCATCACCGCTTGCTCCCATGACTCTGAAAACCCCACCACCACCTCCACCTCCACCTCCACCTCCTCATCCCTCCGCCGCCCCACCAACAACAAACCACCCTTCAAACCCATCACCACCAATCCCCACCCTCCAAAACCCAAAACCAACATCACCAATCCCCTTCAAACACTTAAAAGAAACCCAATTGGTAATAATAACAACTCACAAACCCTAACAGAGAAGCTTTGGTTAACCAGCAAACTCTCTCCCCCACCTCCACCTCCACCTCCGCCTCCACCAGCTCCACCACAACCACTGCCAGATTCTTCTGCATACAAAACTGATTTGGATGAAATTGAGAATAACAGTGATTTGGGACCCACACGAATTGAGTACAGTGATAAGGGAAAAATCTTTGTGGGGAATCTTCCATGGTGGATAACAAAGAACGAGCTTGAAGAATTGTTCAGACAATTTGGACCAATAAAGAAAGTGATATCAATAAAGCGATACAACGATACTGAAAGAAACATGGGGTTTGGGTTTGTAATATATGCAGGTACAACAGCTGAAAATTCAGCAATGAAGGCAGTTGAATTTGATGGTATGGAGTTTCATGGGAGGGTGTTAACTGTAAAACTTGATGATGGGAGGCGAATGAAGGAGAAATCTGCAGATAGGGCTAGCTGGATTGCAGGGGATGACACTGTAGATTACAAGTCAAAATGGGAAGAAGAGAGACATGTTTCAAGAAAAGAGCTCAAAAATGTGCTAGGAACTCAACCAAAAAATTGGCAGGCTATTGTTGACGCTTTTGAAACGATCAAAAAGGTATCTAGAACCTGAACATTCTTTCTTTACTTTATTATATAAATTGATTCTTTTTTCTAAAAGTTGACTTTTATAGCCTTCCAGGACAGAGTTTGGGTTGATGATTAAGTATTATGCAAAGAAAGGTGACATGCATCGAGCAAGAGAAATGTTTGAGAGCATGAGGGGTAGGGGAATTGAGCCAAACTCACATGTATTTACCACGTAAGGGACATTGCTATATTAAGTGCAAATTTATCCTCTTTTTTCATTTTCCTGCATTAAATTAACTTATTTTATGCAGCCTAGTTCACGCTTATGCAGTAGGTAGAGATATGGAGGAGGCTCTTTTTTGTGCAAGGAAAATGAAAGACGAGGGGATTGAATTGACTTTGGTGACTTACAGTGTTCTTATAGGAGGATTTGCTAGAGTTGGTGATATAAAGTAAGTAAATCTCTCTCTCTCTCTCTCTCTCTCTCTCTCTCTCTCTCTCACACACACACACACACACACAAATACACTGATACACATACATAATTCATATACATATATGATATATGTGTAATTATGTATCTATTAAATGGTCAATACTCAATAGTTGCTTAAATATTCAATTTTTTATTTTGGAAGTGCTGCAGATAAGTGGTTCAAGGAAGCCAAAGACAAGCTTACCACTTTGAATGCAATTATATATGGAAACATAATTTATGCACATTGGTGAGTATTCCTTTCTAATTATATATTTTAAATTTGAAAAAAATATATTTTGTAACACTCTGAAAAACACACACACAGCCAAGCCTTCAACATGGAGGGTGCTGAAGCCTTGGTTAGGGAGATGGAAGAAGAGGGCATTGATGCTACAATGGATATTTACCACACAATGATGGATGGTTATACAATGATTAAAAATGAAGATAAATGTCTCATTGTCTATAAGCGACTCAAGGTTTCTTTTTTTCTTTTTTTTAGGCAAGATTTGTATTTATCTCTTTTACTACACTAACCTTGAAAACCCTTTCTAGGAATGTGGCTTTACACCAAACGAAGTCACATACGGATGTCTTATTAATCTTTACACCAAGGTAACTTCAAATCATTATCTATAGTACCATGCTTATCTTTTTCATATACTTTTTTGTCTTTTTAGGAATTTCTAACCTCCTTTTCACTTTCTATTGGTTGCTTAGTTTTTAACATCTTACTTTTAGCTTGTATTGCTAGTATCTGCCTCTTGCTTTATTGCTAGTATCTGCTTCTAGCTTTATTACTGCTTCCTGCTTTATTGCTAGTATCCACTTCTTGCTTTATTGCTAGCACCTGCCTTATTGCTAGTATCTGCTTTCTACTTTATTACTAGTATCTGCTTCCTGCTTTATAACTTGTATCTGCTTCCTGCTTTATTGCTATCATTTGCTTTTTACTTTATTGCTAGTATATGCTTTCTGCTTTACACTTTATTGCTGGTATTTGCTTTCTACTTTATTGGTAGTACCTGCTTGCTTTATTGCGAATATCCGCTCTCTGCTTTATTGCTAGTATCTGCTTTCTGCTTTATATTTGGTATCTGCTTTCTGCTTTATTGCTGGTATCTGCTTTTTGCTTTATTGGTAGTACTTGCTTCCTGCTTTATTGAATGTATCTGCTTCCTACTTTATTGGTAGTATATGCTTTCTGCTTTATTGCTGGTATTTGCTTTCTACTTTATTGCTGGTACCTGCTTTCTGCTTTATTGCTGGTATCTGCTTACACTAATACGGTGTCATATGATCAATTTTTGTAGATGGGAAAAGTTTCAAAAGCATTGGAGGTGAGTGAAACAATGAAATGGAACGGGATAAAGCATAACATGAAGACATATTCAATGTTGATTAACGGATTCATAAAGCTAAAAGACTGGGCTAACGCATTTGCAATATTTGAAGATGTTATAAAAGACGGATTAAAGCCAGATGTTGTGCTTTACAACAACATCATCACAGCATTTTGTGGCATGGGAAACATGGATCGTGCAATTACTACAGTTTCAGAGATGCAAAAAGTAAGACACAAACCAACTTCACGCACATTTATGCCAATCATCCATGGCTATGCAAGAGCAGGAGAAGCCATAAAAGCTATTCAAGTCTTTGATATGATGAGAATGACTGGCTGCATTCCAACTGTCCACACTTACAATGCCCTAATCCTTGGTCTTGTTGAAAAACGCCTGGTATGTCTATTTTTATATATATATTTTTAACTTGTGAAAAAGTTGATAGATTTTTTTATTTTTATTTTTACAGATGGAAAGGGCTGTAAAAATATTAGATGAAATGTTGGTGGCTGGGATTACACCTAATGAACATACATATACAACAATCATGCATGGATATGCATCATTAGGTGACACTGGAAAAGCATTTGAGTATTTCTCTATACTTAAAAATGAAGGATTGGATGTTGATGTGTTCACATATGAGGCTTTACTTAAAGCTTGTTGTAAAGCTGGAAGGATGCAAAGTGCTTTAGCAGTTACTAAAGAAATGCATTCCCGAAAAATCCCAAGAAATACTTTTGTTTACAACATACTTATAGATGGGTACGATTTTTAAAATTATAATAAGATTAGTAAGTGTATTAATTTTATAATATTAGTAAGTACTAATCTTGTTTTTGTTTTTTTAGATGGGCTAGAAGAGGTGATGTTTGGGAAGCAGCTGATTTAATGCAACAAATGAAGCAAGAAGGGGTTCAACCTGATATCCGGACTTACACATCTTTCATCAATGCTTGTTGTAAAGCTGGAGATATGCTTGTATGTCTTTTTCCCAATTTACCCTTTGTACTTTTATTATTTACTAATTATTATTTTGTGGCTAATCTATTGATTATGAATTATGAGTGCAGAGAGCAGGGAAAACAATGAAGGAAATGGAGGCAGCAGGATTAAACCCTAATTTGAAAACCTACACAACCCTAATCCATGGGTGGGCCCGGGCTTCACTTCCTGAAAAAGCTTTAAAATGTTTTGAGGATATGAAATCTGCTGGATTAAAACCTGATGGAGCTGTCTACCATTGTTTAATGACATCATTGTTATCAAGAGCTTCAGTAGCTGAAGACTATATTTACTCGGGAGTTCAACACATTTGTGCTGAAATGGTGGAATCGGGTTTAACGGTTGATATGGGGACAGCTGTCCACTGGGCCCGCTGTTTAAGGAAGATTGAAAGAGGTGGCGGTGATATCACTGAAGCACTTCAGAAGACGTTCCCGCCTGATTGGAACTCTCAGAATATGCTTGATGAAATTTATGGGGTGGAGGTTAGTGATGGTGATGATGATAATGATGATGATGGATTGGTTTATCATGATGATGATGATTCTGATGGAGATTTTGATTGAGTGTATGTATATGTGGTGAATGTTTTTGATGGAATAATGATTTAATGATTTGTATTTTATGCTATGGGAGTTGTACATGTTCTCCATTAGTTTGAGGTGCAGTTGGTAATTTTGTTAAACTGCATACATTAATCACTAACTAGCGGAAAACCCATGCTTTGCATGGGGTGTTTTTTGTGTTTCTTATGTCAAAATGATTAGATTCAGAATCAACATATTGTTGGCTGAAAGTTGAATTTAAACTAGGAGTTTACAAGGTACGTAGGCAAGAACTATTGGAAATTTATTGAATAATTTGAGTTAAAAGTTCGATTTACACAAGGAGTATACAAGGCGAGAAACCTTTCCCTGCATAGCCAAATGTAAAGGAGTTTACAATTGTGACATATCCTTTCCATTTGAATAAGATGTGTTGTAATAAATTAATAATTAAAAGGGCGATTTTAATTCCAAGAGATAATAGCATGCTTTTTGATTTTATATTGAATAATAAATTAATAATAGTATATTACAATCACGAATATATTTTTATTTATATATTTTTAAATAAAAAACAAATTAAAACATAATAAAAGTTTAGTTAAACTGTTTTCTATTAGTTTATGAATATAATTAAGTATTCTTGTTATCTTTTTTCTAATTTGAAATCTTTTCATACTTAAAATTTTAGGAGTCACACCAAAGCTATATATTCTTTTAGGCCAAATTTGTCCCACGTATTAAATGGTTTTTTTTGACAATTGATTTTGACATTTTGGTTAGTTAATAAATACCAAAATCGAATCGGGTTAATTTTAACAATTGATTTCTATTATATTTTATCTTTATTAATTTGTTTTAACATTATACATCCGGGTCGGATCGGAGGGTCCCAAATCAATTCACAATATCTGTAGCATTACCATTTACAACACACAGTTCAATTTTAAGTAATAAGAATTACGGTTTACTGTACTTTACAAGTGCTGCTGCAGATAAGTGCGTCGTTATAGTAGAAAGAGGATAAGTGGTTGAAGGAAAACAGAGTCATACTCATACCCTACTTACCACGGGAGAACGGAGGCTGACGTCGGTATTCACCGGAACAACCACTACTGGCATGTAATTTCCCCGTCATTCACTATCGTCTCAATTTAGTATCTCTCCATATTGGAAATTACGTTTCCGTTTCTAATTTCGTGTAAGAACTTCATCAAGCCATTCAATATTACAGTACAGTTCGTTGTAGGGGTTTTCATGTTCCGAATTTCAGGGTTTACGTCAATGATTAGACTCTGAATCAACATATTGTTGGCTGAAAGTTGAATTTAAACTACGAGTTTACAAGGTACGTAGGCCAGAACTATTGGAAATTTATTGAATAATTTGAGTTAAAAGTTCAATTTACACAAGGAGTATACAAGGCAAGAAACCTTTTCCTGCATAGCCAAATGCAAAGGAGTTTACAATTGTGACATATCCCTTCCATTTAATTTGAATCAGATGTGTTGTAATAAATTAATAATTAAAAAGACGATTTTAATTCCAAGAGGTAATAACATACTTTTTGATTTTATATTGAATAATAAATTAATAATAGTATGTTACAATCACGAATATATTTTTATTTATATATTTTTAAATAAAAAACAATTTAAAACATAATAAAATTTTAGTTAAAATATTTTCTATTAGTTTGTCAAAATAATTAAGTATTATTGTTTTCTTTTTTCTAATTTGAAATCTTTCCGTACTTAAAATTTTAGGAGTCACACCACAGCCATATATTTTTTTAGGCCAAATTTGTCCCACGTATTAAATGGTTTTTTTGACAATTGATTTTTACATTTTGGTTAGTTAATAAATACCAAAATCGAATCGGGTAAATTTTAGCAATTGATTTCTATTATGTTTTATCTTTATTAATTTGTTTTAACATTATACACCAGGGTCGGATCGGAGGGTCCCAAATCAATTCACAATATCTGTAGCATTACCATTTACCACACACAGTTCAATTTTAAGTAATAAGAATTACAATTTACTGTACTTTACAAGTGCTGCTGCAGATAAGTGCGTCGTTCTAGTAGAGAGAGGATAAGTGGTTGAAGGAAAACAGACTGATACTCATACCCTACTTACCACGAGATAACGGAGGCTGACGACGGTATTCACCGGAACAACCGATACTGGCATGTAATTTCCCCGTCATTCAGTGTCACCTTAATTTAGTATCTCTCCATATTGGAGATTATGTTTCCGTTTCTAATTTCGTATAAGAACTTCATCAAGCCATTCGATATTATAGTACAGTTCGTTGTAGGGGTTTTCATGTTCCGAATTTCAGGGTTTAGGGCAATGATTAGACTCTGAATCAACATATTGTTGGCTGAAAGTTGAATTTAAACTAGGAGTTTACAAGGCACGTAGGCCAGAACTATTGGAAATTTATTGAATAATTTGAGTTAAAAGTTCGATTTACACAAGGAGTATACAAGGCGAGAAATCTTTTCCTGCATAGCCAAATGTAAAGGAGTTTACAATTGTGACATATCCCTTCCATTTGAATCAGATGTGTTGTAATAAATTAATAATTAAAAGGACGATTTTAATCCCATGAGGTAATAGCATGCTTTATGATTTTATATTGAATAATAAAGTAATAATAGTATATTACAATCACGAATATATTTTTATTTATATATTTTTAAATAAAAAAAATTAAAACATAATAAAATTTTAGTTAAACTGTTTTCTATTAGTTTGTGAATATAATTAAGTATTCTTGTTATCTTTTTTCTCATTTGAAATCTTTTCATTCTTAAAGTTTTAGGAGTCACACCAAGGCCATATATTTTTTTAGGTCAAATTTGTCCCACGTATTAAATGGTTTTTTTTAACAATTGATTTTGACATTTTGGTTAGTTAATAACTACGAAAATCGAATCGGGTTAATTTTAACAATTGATTTCTATTATGTTTTATCTTTATTAATTTGTTTTAACATTATACATCCGGGTCGGATCGGAGGGTCCCGAATCAATTCACAATATCTGTAGCATTACCATTTACCACACACAGTTCAATTTTAAGTAATAAGAATTACAGTTTACTGTACTTTACAAGTGCTACTGCAGATAAGTGCATCGTTCTAGTAGAGAGAGGATAAGTGGCTGAAGGAAAACAGAGTCATTCTCATACCCTACTTACCACGAGAGAAGGGAGGCTGACGCCGGTATTCACCGGAACAACCACTACTGGCATGTAATTTCCCCGTGATTCACTGTCGCCTCAATTCAGTATCTCTCCATATTGGAAATTACGTTTCCGTTTCTAATTTCGTGTAAGAACTTCATCAAGCCATTCGATATTATAGTACAGTTCGTTGTATCGTTGTAGGGGTTTTCATGTTCCGAATTTCAGGGTTTAGGGCAATGATTAAACTCTGAATCAACATATTGTTGCCTGAAAGTTGAATTTAAACTAGGAGTTTAAAAGGCACGTAGGCCAGAACTATTGGAAATTTATTGGATAATTTGAGTTAAAAGTTCGACTTACACAAGGAGTATACAAGGCGAGAAATCTTTGCCTGCATAGCCAAATGTAAAGGAGTTTACAGTTGTGACATATCCCTTCCATTTGAATCACATGTGTTGTAATAAATTAATAATAAAAAGGACGATTTTAATCCAAAGAGGTAATAGGATGTTTTTTGATTTTTATATTGATTAATAAATTAATAATAGTATATTACAATCACAAATATATTTTTATTTATATATTTTTAAATAAAAGACAAATTAAAACATAATAAAATTTTGGTTAAACTGCTTTCTATTAGTTTGTGAATATAATTAAGTATTCTTGTTATCTTTTTTCTAATTTGAAATCTTTTCATACTTCAAATTTTAGGAGTCACACCAAAGCCATATATTTTTTTAGGCCAAATTTGTCCGACGTATTAAATGGTTTTTTTGACAATTGATTTTGACATTTTGGTTAGTTAATAAATACCAAAATCGAAGCGGGTTAATTTTAACAATTGATTTCTATTATGTTTTATCTTTATTAATTTGTTTTAACATTATACATCCAGGTCGGATCGGAGGGTCCCAAATCAATTTACAATTTCTGTGGCATTACTATTTACCACACACAGTTCAATTTTAAGTAATAAGAATTACAGTTTACTGTACTTTACAAGTGCTGCTGCAGATAAGTGCATCGTTCTAGTAGAGAGAGGATAAGTGGCTGAAGGAAAACATAGTCATTCTCATACCCTACTTACCACGAGAGAATGGAGGCTGACGCCGGTATTCACCGGAACAACCGCTACTGGCATGTAATTTCCCCGTGATTCACTGTCGCCTCAATTCAGTATCTCTCCATATTGGGAATTACGTTTCCGTTTCTAATTTCGTGTAAGACCTTCATCAAGCCATTCGATATTATAGTACAGTTCGTTGTAGGGGTTTTCAAGTTCCGAATTTCAAGGTTTAGGGAAATGATTAGACTCTGAATCAACATATTGTTGGCTGAAAGTTGAATTTAAACTAGGATTTTTCTAGGTACGTTGGCCAGAACTATTGGAAATTTATTGAATAATTTGAGTTAAAAGTTCAATTTACACAAGGAGTATACAAGGCGAGAAACCTTTTCCTGCATAGCCAAATGTAAAGGAGTTTACAATTGTAACATATGTGTTGTAATAAATTAATAATTAAAAGGACGATTTTAATACCAATAGGTAATAGCATGCTTTTTAATTTTATATTGAATAATAAATTAATAATTGTATATTACAATCAGGAATATATTTTTATTTATATACTTTTAAATAAAAAACAAATTAAAACATAATAAAATTTTAGTTAAACTGTTTTCTATTAGTTTGTGAATATAATTAAGTATTCTTGTTATCTTTTTTCTAATTTGAAATCTTTTCATACTTAAAATTTTAGGAGTCACACCAAAGCCATATATTTTTTTAGGCCAAATTTGTCCCACGTATTAAATGATTTTTTTAACAATTGATTTTGACATTTTGGTTAGTTAATAAATACCAAAATCGAATCGGGTTCATTTTAACAATTGATTTCTATTATGTTTTATCTTTATTAATCTGTTTTAACATTATACATCCGGGTCGGATCGGAGGGTCCCAAAT